TTCTCCCCCATGGTCCTCAGTTAAGTTCCTCCTAATCCTCCTATACGTGCAAACATATGGTAGCTGTCCTTCTCTGCCTGACTTATTTCGCTCAGCATAACACCCTCAAGGTCCATCCATGTTGCTACACATGGCCAGACTTCATTTTTCTCATTGCCATGTAGTATTCCATGGTATAGATAAACCACATCTTCTAGATCCATTCGTCCGTTGATGGACACTTAGGCTCTTTCCATGTTTTGGCTACTGTTGAGAGTGCTGCTGTGAACTAGACTAGCGTTTTCCACCGATGTGACTTCCTCCTTCAAGCCCCTCTTTCTTTTTTCTTCCTTCCTCCCGGAGGTCGACTGGGAGACCATCCTCTTGAAAGGGCTGTGTGGTGGCACCAGGAGGGGCTTCCCGGAGGGAACCGTGTGTAGAGCCTGGGGGAAGCGGGCGAACGAGGGTGGCCCAAGATGACCTCTGGCAGGGCCCTTCAAGGCCAAATTCACACTTCTGCCTCTGGTGGCTGACGGGCCCCGAGGCCGGGGTTGCTGCTGTCACATCAGCCACATGTGCGGCCATGCGCCTGTTCTTTCCTCCGTTCAGTAAATGGTTCCGGAGTCCCCGCCTCGCGCCAGGGCGTGGTGAGCAGGACGGGGGGACGCCCGTGCGGGCCCGATGGTGTGATGGCTGCCGGTGGCTGTGGCTGAGGGGGACAGAGAGGCCTTTGGGGCAAGGCAGATCCTTTCCAGCTGCGACAAGTTGGTGACACTTCCTCTCTGAGACTCAGCCTTCTCACCTGTTAAGTGGGATAAATGGCTGGATTGTTGCAGAATGAGATCAGAGGAGCGAAGTGATGTGCTCGCTTCAGCAGCACAGATACAGATGAGCGAAGTGACCCGCTCCGGGCGGCCCAGCAGGCTGCAGGCTTCTTCCCCGTCCCCAGCCGAGCACTTAGCCCCGAGAGGCTGTGGAGTGTGTACAGGGGAAAGGAGGAGGGGCACGCTGTGGGGTTCAGCCTGGGTGATGGGAACGTAAGGGAGAGCCTGGGAAATAAGGCAGAGCCACATTTCCGAGGCAGGGAAGCCAGCAGCTGCCACGTGTACTGGCCCACGCTTCAGGGACTCTAGACACCCTGGGCGGCGGCTGCTCACACTTCCTCATGTGCCAGCTGCTTAGGGTTATGCTCCCAGAGAGGGGAAATGGAAGCCCAGAGAGGTTAAGGTACTTGCCTCCCAGAACACAGCCTGTAGGAGAGCCAGGGGCTCTGCCGAAGACAGGAAGACAGCCATGAGGACGGAAGTACCGTGGTTAAGAGCATGGACCCTAGGGGCGCCCGGGGGGCTCAGTCGGTTAAGCGTCTGACACTCCGTTTCGGCGCAAGTCCACAATCTCACGGTTTCGTGCATTCGAGCCCAGCATCAGGCTCTGCGCTGACAGTGCGGAGGCTGCTTGGGATTCTCTCTTTCTCTGTCCCTCCCCTACTCACACTATCTCTGTCTCTCCCAAAATAAATAAGCTTAAAAATTTAAAAAGAAGAAGCATGGACCCCTGTGCGAGACCACCAGGGTCCAGGTCCCACCACTCACTGGCTCTGTGGCCTCTGGGCGACTTACTTCGCCTTTCAGCCTCAGTTTCCCGGCCTCAGTTTCCTAATCTGTAAAATAGGGATAAAAGGAGTACCCTCTTCATAGCATTGCGGTGAGGAATGAGTGGGTTCACGTGTATAAAGCCCACGGAACAATGCCCGGCCCATGTCAACCCCTTATCACCCCGAGATGCTCTTCCCCTTATGCCTCAGAACAGCCAAGATCAACCTTAAAGGTGAAAACTCCCCACCCTGCCCCGCTCAGGGAGCTGTTCTCTGGCAGAAGAGACAGCTGGGATTCCAGTAGCAACCGGGACTGTCGCCTTTTGAAGTGGAGAGGGCTGGCTTTTTGGTAGCCAAGGACCTGAGAACCCAGCTTGCCAGGCTGTGACACCTGCCCCGAATGCCTGCCCCTCTGCCCCGCCCCCCCCAGGCCTGGAGCCCAAGTGATCCCCACCCCCAGGCCACACCAGATAGCCAGGGCCCTCCACTGTGCTCAGTCTGCGGGCTGCTGTCAGAAAGGGAAGGAGGTGATCCCCTGACAGGCCTCGCTCACAAGCCGGACTGGGCGGGACCAGAGAGTGAAAGGGACCATCTCGGGAGACCCGGCCTGGGGCCAGTGTGAGCCCCAGGGAAGAAGGCTGACCTGGTCTCCTGCCCCTCCGGCTTTGAGATTCTGCTGCTGGAGACTGAGGCCCGGGGTGTGTGTGTGTGTGTGTGTGTGTGTGTGTGTGTGTGCACGCGCGTGCGTGTGTGTGTCCCTGTGTCCCCTGAAGCTGACAGCTCTGTTTGTGTTCTGAGTCAGCCGAGTGGACAGGGGCAGGACTGGCCGGAGGTGGGACCGTGTGTGTGTGTGTGTGTGTGTGTGTGTGTCCGTCCGTCCCCCCATGTCGCCTGGAGCTGACAGCTCTGTTTGTGTTCTGAGTCAGCCGAGTGGACAGGGGCGGGACTGGCCGGAGGTGGGGCTTGCCTTAATTGGGTTGTTGACTCATCAAGTTCAGGAAGGCCTAGGGGGGTGCAGGCCCAGAGCCCTGGTCTCTGAAAGTGCCCACATGGCCCCAGAAGGCCCCAGAAGCACACGGTGTGGCTCCAGCTTCCTGGCTCCATCCTTTACCTGCGGTCTTTGTCCCTCTGAGCCTCAGTTCCCTTGTCCGCCTCCTCGCATTGCTGGAGGGTAAATGTGTGAATTCATGGGGATGCTTGGAGTGGGTCTTGTCGCCCAGGAAGTGCCTAGCAGCCGTTGGCTGTTCTTTTTATGGTCACTACCATAGTAATTATTGTCACCGTCATTTCTGGGAGATCCGGGGGCTGGGGGAGGAGAGCACAGACTGCCAGGCCCGATGGGGACCCATGGCCCCCAATCCTGAGTGGTCTCGGGTGGCACAGCAGAGGGAGAAAACCCTGGAGTCTGCCTGCCTGGACTTGCAGCCTCACATGACCATGTACTTGCTGTGTGGTTTTGGCCAAGGTACTGAACCTCTCTGAGCCTCCTTTTCTTCTATAGAAAGGGGCCAGTAGTTGAGCTCACATGGCAGGGTTATTGTGACAACCGTGTAAAAAGGGCCAGAAGCAGAGGCTGCGTGTGCACAGTAGGCTTTCAGAAGCGGCTGCTGTTTTGAAAGCTTCAAAAGCCCAAGTGTTTGGGGACAGAGCAGCTGAGGGGCTGGGGATATTGTGACGGCAGCAGCGGCCTGGGATACCCTGGGCTCGTTGGTGGAAACTTCTAGGCCAGGGCTCTGCAGGGCTGTCCTCTGGGGAAGGGAAGGGATGGACGGGAGCTGGGAAAACCCGCAGTCTGCTCTCCACCCCCACCCCTGCCCAGCCCTCCCATCCCTCTAAGCGAACTTTTCCAGAGGTTCCTGGGAACCGTGCAGGCAGCCCGGCATTGCTGCCCAGGCCCCTGCATGTCTGAACTCCCCTGCATGTAAGCACCACAGCTCTGCAGTCGGGGAGACAGGAGGAAACAGAATTTCTGCAACAGAGCCACCTAATGCTAATCTCTGAGCCTCAGTTCTCCCATCTGTAAAATGGGGGTGATAGCCCTCCCTTTGCAGAGGGTTAAGTAAGGAATCCTGGTAACTCCTCAGCTGGGACACAGCGGCTCCTCTTCCCAGCTGAGCCCTCCTCTCTGCCCACCTCCCACACTGGCTAGGCTCCTCCCCCCTCCCCAGTTCCCCTTTGGAGCGGAGGCCCCTCTGCTGGCTGCTGTCAGAGGCGGCCTGACATCTGGCCTTCTCAGCACCTCTGCTGGGCATGGGAGTTGACTGAGGAGGAGCCCCTGCTCTCAGGATGGGAACCACATGGAAAAGGGGGGCACAGGGTGCCCAGGAATCCACCAGCTGGATGTGTGAGGGCTTCGGAAGCTCGTGGTGCCCACCAGTCCCTGTCCCCCACCCCATCCTGGGCCGCCGCTCAGCCAGAGAGAACCAAACACACAAGGGACCAGGACACCATGAGCGAGAACCAGTAGAACGGCCAGATAACAGCTGTTAGATCCGTCAGACCAGCTTATAAAACAGCGACGCGGTTTTTTTCTTTTCACTTAAGTCTTTTATTGGTCAGGCCAGGTACCAGCATGAGTAGCAAGGTCATAGTTTTGCACCTAAAATCGCCTGTTGTCTTCCAGCTCGCCTCCTGTCTCCCTCCCAGCTGTGAACCCCTAATCACAGAGGCAGTTTTCCAGGCTCTTTTAATGCTTATTTTTGAGAGAGAGAGAGAAAGCGGGGGGAGGGGCAGAGAGAGAGGGAGACACAGAATCTGAAGTAGGCTCCAGGCTCTGAGCTGTCAGCACAGAGCCCAACATGGGGCTTGAACCCACAAACCATGGGATCGTGACCTGAGCCGAAGTCGGACGCTTCACCAACCGAGCCGCCAGGCGCCCCCCGGCAGACCTCACTTTAACCACAGCATCGGCAACAAGCAGGTGTCTTCAGCGTCTTCAGAATCAGGCGCTGCCTGCAAACCTGGGGGAGGGGGGGGTGCCCGGGTCCCGAGGGGGCTGTGCTGCGTCACGGTCCTGGCGCCCAGACCCCCACTCCCGGAAAGCGCCCCTTCACTCAGGCGAGAACCTTTGTCTCTCACAGCTGTGGATGCAGTTATCTTGAACAACCTTAGGGTCCCTTCTTGTGCCCTTCAGAATTGAAGGTGTGACTGCCTTTGGTGCCGGTGCCGACACCTTCAGCTTCTCCCCGTGGGGGCCCAAAGCACCACACAGGTCTGTGCCACTTGCCACTCTGCCTTTTGTCCAGTACGTTTCCAGCCCACTTCCATATCCAGGCTCGTGCTTGGTCTCAGTAGGCAAGTTCTCGAAAGCCTTATTCCGGTAACCATATGTGGGACCCCGTTAATGGGACGTTTCTGCCGGCCTCTGGACACATGTCAGTGTTAACACGGGCTCCGTCTGTACCTGAGAGATGGCAGGGACAGTGGGGACTGTCTTTTCCCAAGATGCTACAGATCGGTTACAGCAAACAGAACAGGGACCGTCAAGGAAAAGTCACGCCGGCTCCTTTCGGATCACGGCAGCAGCGTGGAAATGGCTGCAGCTTCGGTCAGGGCCACAAAATGACAGTGCTTATTAGGGGTAAAGAAATAGAAGGAGCAGCACTCCCCCGCCACGGCCTCTCTCCTTTGTGCCCACAGACAGCAGCCCTCTCGTGGGCAGCACGCCCGCCGGCTATGGGACCCTGACGATAGAGACATCTGTAGATCCCCTCAGCTCCTCAGTTTCATCCGTGGTACGTGCACAGGTGTGGGCGGGTGGGCCACCCAGACCCCCGGCTCCTCCTCCAGCCTGCCCCGCCCCCACCTCGGCCCTCTGTGTTGGCCTCCCCGCAGAGGCTCAGCGGCTACTGTGGCAGTCCATGGAGGGTCCTAGGCTATCACCTGGTGGTCTGGATGATGGCGGGGATCCCCTTGCTCCTGTTCCGCTGGAAGCCGGTGTGGGGGGTGCGGCTGCGGCTGCGGCCCTGCAACCTGGCCCACGCCGAAACACTCGTCATCGAAATAAGAGACAAAGAGGTGAGTCAGGCCGGCAGGGGAAGCCTGGCGCTGGGGAGGCTGGCGGTGGGTCAGGGTCCGTGGTGGGGGCGGGAGGGCGGTGGGTCCTGCTTGGGTTCTCAGCCCGGTCTGGCCCCTGAGTCTCTTCTGTGGGACCTTACAACAAGGGTTGTCCTTTCTGGACCTCGGCTTTCCCATCTGAGCAGTGGGTAGAAGGGGCAGGTTAGGTGGCTCCTGACGGGGGTCAGCTATGTCCTTGATCCCTGCCTTCTCCAGCAGGGGCCACGGGGCGGCAGAGTGGGGCCTGGGAAGGGAGGAGTCTCTTCTGGGACCAAGCCCCCACCTCTGTGTTCCAGGATAATTCGTGGCAGCTGTACACTGTGCAGGTGCAGACTGAGGCCATCAGTGAGGGCAGGTGAGGCAGCCGCATCACCCTTCCCAGAAGCCCCTGTTCCCCACCGGCCCCCTCCCACAGAGGCTCCGACCCTGGTGCCTTGCGCCCCAGCGAGGGACCGTGGCTCCGTGGGGATGGGGGATGTGCTGGAATGTTCCAGAGTGCCACAGTAACCCCCACTCCCCTCCCAGCCTGGAGCTGCCCGCCCAGGTCCAGGCAGAGGACGGCCGGAGCCAGGCGGCTGTGGGGGCCATACCGGAGGGTGCGTGGAAGGACACCACCCAGTTCTGCAGGAACGACGAGGCGGTGAGTGGACCGCTGGGCCCGGGCAAGTCCTCAACCCTCCCTGGGCCTCACTTTCACGCCCTATACGATGCTGGGTTGGACTCCACACTCCCCAGGCTCCCCTGGTCCCGCTGTCCCAAATGTCCACGGTGCCGCCTGAGCACCTTAACACATCCAGGCCTCCCTGCCTCTTTCCTGTGACTCCGGCCTCTACCCCTGCCCTCCCTGCCCCCCCCCCCCACCAGCTCCTCCTGGGGCTCCTCCAGCCTCTTCTGTCTCCTACCCAGCAGCGGATGCTGCGATATTACCTCTTCCGGGGCCAGCGCTACGTCTGGATCGAGAGCCAGCAAGCCTTCTGCCAAGTCAGGTAGGGGTCAGGGCCCGCGCACGCACACCGGTGCTGGGCCGGGCAGGAGACGTGGCATGAGGTGGCCCTGCATGGGTCCCCCACAGCTCTGTGCCTTGGTCCCCTGCGGCGTGAGCAAGTCACTGAGCCTCTCCAGGCCGCAGAGTCCCTGTAACTGGGACCTAAAGAGAATCCGTGCCCTCTAGGCTTATCTCGAGGGGGAAATGCAGAAGCTTCACATAAAGTTTGGCTCCGCCTCGAGCCAAACTTAGGCTCTGGACTGGGACCCTCCATCTGGGGTCTCGTCCCTGCTCTGCCACCTCCCTGAGAAATGTGAGCTCAGGACACGCCTTCAGGTGCAAGGAGCTTGCATGGAACGTGCTCCCAGGGAACACTGGCGAGGTGAGGGGGGACCAGGAGGTATCACAGGGAGCTCGGTCCCCTAGGGGATCTTCTTGAGCCCGTGTCGGGCTCTGGGTGCCCTCACCCGAGGAGTGAGGAAGCTGGGGGTACTTACCCATCGTCCCCTGCACCCCCGCCCATGGTGGCGGTGGGCTCCTAGCCGCGGACGTGAACGCCTCGGCGCTTCCCGGCTCTCGGCAGAGCAGCTCACGCAGCCGGGAGCAGCCCGCCTGTTAAGACAGGTGTTTGCGGTGCCGGCCGCGCCTGCGGAGGCGAGTGCCCTGCAGACGAGGGGACAGCGCCAGCCTCTGCCGCGGGACGAGAATAGCGCAAATGGCTGATGTGTTTGCACGCGGTAGGTGCCAGATCCTAGTCATGCGCTTTGCACGGCGCCTTGTTGATTCCACCCGCAGCCCTGAGGCAGGTGCTGTCTCCATCCCTGTTCCGCAGAGGAAGAAACTGAGTCACAGGGAGGTGGAGTCGCCTACAGAAGGCGTCATCAATGCAAATGATATACCCCCATCACTAATTAAGAGTGGCTTTTGTCGCTGTTAAATATCATCATCTCTCATTGCTCATCCTTGAAGAGGTGATTTGGGGCCAGAGGGACAGAAGGACAAAGTTAAGCCCAGAGTCCATGAGGGTCCTGCCTCCTCCCAGGAGCTCAGTGGGCCAGAAGGGGCCTAGAGCCCCGAGTCCCTGGCCTGCGATGGCGTCTGGGCCCCGTCGCCCATCCGAGTCCCCCTTCCCGCCCTCCGCAGCCTGCTGGACCACGGCCGCACCTGTGAGGACGTCCACCGCTCCTGCTCCGGCCTCAGCCTCCAGGACCAAGCCGTGAGGTGGGTGCTGCCCTGGACCAGAGGTTCCAGCGCTCTGGGGACCCCGTCTTGCTCCCCAGAATGTGCCCTTCTGTGGCTGTAAGATGAGGACCCTGGAGGGTCCACCGCCACTGCCCCTCCATCTTTCGGCCCCACCTCTTCTCTTGCAGGAAGACCATCTATGGCCCCAACGTGATCGGTGTGCCGGTCAAGTCCTATCCGCAGCTGCTGGTGGACGAGGTAGGGCTGTCGCTGGGCCGGTCTCCAGTGGCAGAGTCCTTCCCCCTAGGGGAGAGTCCTCTCAGACCCCGTCAGCTCAGGGCAAGCAGTTGGAGGCTCTGATGCGGGCTGAGGCTGGCAGTAGAGGCCCGGAGGCCACGCCACGCAGGCTGGGCTTCCCCTGCGAGTGAGAGCCGTACCTTTCTGTGCTTTAGACACTGGAACCGTCTGGCAACCATGGTGCAGGGACACTCACTTCCCATGCAGAGAACCCAGGCTTTGGAGGGGTGACATGGCCTAGGGGACAAAGGGACCCAGACGTCCTCAAGGTCACTGAGCATCATGGTCGTCTGAGCCAGATGCCCATAAAAGGGGGACAGTCTACTGACGTCTGGCCTCATGTAACCCCCAGGCAGCCACTTGGGAGCTGTGTGGTTTGGGGCAAGTGACTTGACCCTACTGTGCCTCAGTTTCCCCATCCGCAAAATGGAGTGATGGTGGCATCCGCCCTGTGGGATTGTTGTCACCACTGGATGATACTCAGATGACGTGCTTAGCAGGGGCCTGGCATGTAAAGGCCTTTGTCCTCCTTAGAGCAGAGACCCCTGGGTCGGGGGACGCGGCAGCTCAGGAGACGTCTGGATGGGGCTGAGCAGGGAAATGGCCCGTCCCGGGGCTGGGCTGCCCTGGGGGCCGCAGGCCCTGATGCTGCCTTCCCGCCCCTCCCCCAGGCACTGAACCCCTACTATGGGTTCCAGGCCTTCAGCATTGGGCTGTGGCTGGCCGACCGCTACTACTCGTACGCCCTGTGCATTTTGTTCATCTCCACCGCCTCCATCTGCCTGTCGCTCTACAAGACCAGAAAGGTGGGTGGTGTGAGGTGGCTGGGGCGGGGGCAGGCAGGTCCCCAGGGGGGCCACCACCCACCCACTCCCTACGTGTCCCCCTGCCCACAGCAAAGCCAGACTCTGAGGGACATGGTGCAGCTGTCCGCACGGGTGTGTGTGTGCCGGCCCGGGGGAGGTGAGCGCTGGGGAAGGCGGGGGAGGCCGAGGAGGTGGTGGCGGGTGGGTGGCGCCCTGGGCCATGCTGAGGCCCTCAACTTGCCCACAGAGGAGGAATGGGTGGACTCCAGCGAGCTGGTGCCAGGAGACTGCCTGGTGCTGCCCCAGGAAGGCGGCCTGGTGCCCTGCGACGCTGCCCTGGTGGCTGGGGAGTGCATGGTCAACGAGAGCTCCCTGACAGGTCAGCCCCCGGCCCGCGGCCTCCGCGCTTCCTCCCATGCCAGCAGGCCCCTCGCCTGCGTCTGGACTTTGAGGGTCTTCTTTCCCTTTTGCTCCTGGGGAGGCAGCACTTGCTAGTCCTACACCCTCAGTAAGAGATTGCCACTCAGGGCGCCTGGGTGGCTCCGTCGGTTAAGCTCAGTCCGGCTTCGGCTCAGGTCATGATCTCACAGTTGGTGGGTTCGAGCCCCGCATCGGGCTCTGTGCTGGCAGCTCAGAGCCTGGAGCCTGCTTTGGATTCTGTGTGTGAGTGTGTGTGTGTCTCTCTTTCTCTCTTTCTCTCTCTCTCCCTCTCTCCCTCTCTCCCCCTCCTCTGCTCATGCTCTCTCTCTGAAAAATAAATAAATGAACATAAAAAAAAAAAGATTGCTACTCTGCTGGACAGCATGGCTAGGGCTTTGGAGAGGCTAAGGCCCCACCCCCACCCTGTGGCTTATTGGTTTGAGTTATAAAGGAATACAGCTTGTTGTGAAATAATTCCAACAGAACGCGAACGTCGTCCTCACCCCTGCCCCCAACTACGTGTACCCGTGTGCACACACGCTTTCCATCTTCCCTGAGGGAGGGGTCCTGGGACCTGGCTGGCACATGTCCTCTCAGGATTTCCCGGCTGTGTCTTTTATGTCTTTTGCCCTCTCTCAACCTCAGTGTCCCTCTCTGTAAAATGGGGGCAAGGGCTTCTGCACACGTGGTACAGGAGTTAGATGAGACCTAGGGCTTCAGGAACCAGTTCTGTGCTTCGCGCGGGCCGGTGGGAAGGAGTGGCACGGAGGCCCCTCACGGGCTGCGTCCCGCGTCCCCCTCAGGGGAGAGCGT